CCGTGATCGCAGGAATCGACCGAGAGGAAAATTCCTGTTATGAACCTATAATAATGCCAGTGACTGAGGACAAGAAAAATTAGACTCGGTTTAGTAGAATTTCTAAGCCGTCTCAGTCGGCCGATAACAAAAATGGCTTTGGTGAAATTGGTTGCTTTAGTCGTCAGTCAGAATATTCTCATGACATGTCGACAAAATGACATCAATTTCCCCACTGTGGCGTTGTCCTTCAACCGGTGTGCGATATTTCATCGACGTGCGCTACGACCTATCCTCTTTTTCATCTCTCTTTTCTTTTTTCTTTAATAAAGTATTTTCGAATCTCTCTAAATCTCGACATGCAAGCAAACGGCAACGGCAGCAGCCATGAAGGGGAGTTTTAGCCACGTTGCATAAACGATGTAGAAATTTCAGTCGGTTTCTCTCTATGCGGTTCCTTCACATACGGTAAAAATTCTCATAGTCCCGAGTTTCTCCCGTGAATCGAAAATTATATAGTTAAAGACAGAAGCTGAAGGAAGGTTAGACGGGCAAATTCACGATCATTAGAAGAAAACGTCCGCATTTTATATCTTTATTTCCTCACCTTCTTGGTCGACTTTGCGTGACAAAAGCAGACCTTGTGAAACGTCGATTTCGACGCCGTCAGACCCACGGAGGAAATCTGTTTGACAAGCAACTGTTCAACATGTATATACATGTGTGTGTGTGTATAATATATATATATATATATATATATATATATATAATATATATATATATATATATATGGTAAATCTAAGTAAGACAGCCGCGCCTATTAGTTATTATTATTTCTTTCTCCTATCCCCTTCAATCTCGGGTGACCCGTGGAGAATTGGGGGTTGAAGGAGGGGGGGGGTCACACACATGGAAGAAATAGTGGATTGAAAAGGAAATTTTTGAAAAAAAAAAACATGCAAAATCCGAACGAGATGCCGGCGCCTCTGTGAGATGCGCCGGTGTCAGTGTTGCCGAAATCCCGACGAAATTTCTTAACGTAACCTAACCAACCTAACCAACCTAACTAACCTAACCTAACCTACCAACCCACCCAACCCAACCAACCCAACCACCAACCTAACAACTAACTAACCAACCTAACCCAACTAACCTTAACCTAACCTAACCCAAACTAACCTAACCTAACCTAACCAAACTAACCTAACCTAACCAACCTAACCTAACCTAACCTACCCACTAATCCAACCTAACCTAACCTAACCCAACCTAACCTAACCTAACTTAATCTAACCCAACCTAACCTAACCTAACCTAACCTACCCAACCTAACCCAACCTAACCTAACCCTAACCTACCCTACCTAACCTACCTTACCTAACCTAACCTAACCTAACCTAACCTAACCTAACCTAACCAACCTAACCAACCTTACCCAACCTAACCTAACCTAACCTAACCTAAACCTAACCCAACCTAACCCAACCTAACCTAACCTAACCTAACCTAACCCCTAACCTAACCTAACCTAACCAACCTAACCTAACCTAACCTACCCTAACCTACCCAACCTAACCCAACCTAACCTAACCTAAACCTACCGACCTAACCTAACCTAACCTAACCAACTAACCCAACCTAACCTAAAACCTAACCCAAACTAACCTAACCCCTAACCTAACCTAACCTAACCTAACCTAACCTAACCCAACCTAACCCAAACTAACCCAACCTAACCAACCTAACCTAACCTAACCTACCCAACCTAACCTAACCCTAACCCAAACTAAACCTAACCAACCTAACTAAACCTAACTAACCTAACCTAACCTAAACCTAACCTAACCTAACCTAACCTAACCTAACCTAACCTAACCTAACCCAACCTAACCTAACCTAAAACTTAACCTAACCTAACCTAACCCAACCTAAACCTAACCTAACCTAACCCAACCTAACCTAAAAACTAACCTAACCCAACCTAACCCAAACCTAACCTAACCTAACCTAACCTAACCTAACCTAACCTAACCTACCCAACTAACCTAACCTAACTAACCTAACCTAACCTAACTAACCTAACTAACCTAACCTAACCTAACTAACCTCCTAACCTAACCTAACCTAACCTAACCAACCTAACCTAACCTAACCCAAACCTAACCTAACCTAACCTAAAACCTACCTAACTTAACCCAACCAACCTAACCACCAACCAACCTACCTAACCAACCTAACCTAACCAACCTAACCTAACCTAACCTAACCTAACTAACCTAACCCAACCTACCTAAACCTAACCAACCTAACCTAACCTAACCTAACCTAACCTAACCTAAACCTAACCTAACCCAACCTAACCTAACCTAACCTAACCAACCTAACCTACCCCTAAACCTAACTAACCTAACCTACCAACCTAACCTAACCTAACCAACCTTACCCAACCTGACCTAACCTAACCTACCCAACCTAACCCAACCTAACCTAACCTAACCCAACTAACCAACCTAACCTAACCTAGACTAACCTAACCTAACCTAACCTAACCTAACCCAACCTAACCTAACCTAACCCAACCTATCCCAAATTAACCTAACCTAACCCAACCCAACCCAACCTAACCTAACCTAACCAACCTAACCTAACCAACCTAAAACCTAAAACCTAACCCCAACCTAACCTAACCTAACCCAACCTAAACCTAACCTAACCTAACCTAACCTAACCTTAACCCAAACCTAACCAAACCCAACCAACCTAACCTAACCTAACCTAAACCTAACCTAACCCACCTAACCTAACCTACCAACCTAACCTAACCTAACCAACCTAACCTAACCTAAACTAACCTAACCTAACCTAAACCTACCCACCTAACCTAACCCAAACTTAACCTAACCTAACCTAAACCCAACTAACCTAACCTAACCTACCTAACTAACTAACCCAACCCAAACCTAACCCAACCTAACCTAACCTAAAACCTAACCCAACCTAACCTAACCTACCCAACCTAACCTAACCTAACCTAACCTAACCTAACCAACCTAACCTAACCCAACCTAACCTAAACCTAACCCAACCTAACCTAACCTACCCAACCTAACCTAACCTAACCAACCTAACCTAACCCAACCTAACCTAACAAACCTAAACCTAACCTAACCTAACCTAACCTAACCCCAACCCAAAGCCAAGCAACTAAGCTAAGCTAACCCAACCTAACCTACCCAACCTAACCTAACCTAACCTACCCAACCCAACCTAACCTAACCAGCCTAACCAACCAACCCAAGGACCCCTTTCCCTGGGGTATTGCCTTACCCCTTACCTGGGTTTATTTTGCAGTATAAACGAAGCATACCTTCCAAACCCCCGTATTTTGTATTTTGCAGAAAGCTCACAGTATTGTTTATATTTAGACGGTCCGAGACAACGAGGTTTGTGGACTTTAGCGAGGCAACTTTTGAATTTCAATTAAAGCACAACCAGTGAGGTCCCCACAATTTTATTAACTTCCCCGACAGGTGCGAACACTAGTCAATAATTCTGTTATACTTTCCTTTGTATATATAGTGCGGCTGCCTAAATTAGTATTGCCATATATATTCATATTTATTATATATGCATATATATATATATATATATATATATATATATATATATATTATATATATATATATATATGTTTAAGTATATATATATATAATATATATTATATATATATATATATATATATATATATATATATTATATATATATGTTTAAATTATATATATATATATATATATATATATATATATATATATATATATATATATATATATATATATATATATATATATATATATATATATATATATATATATATATATATATATATATATATATATATATATATATATATATATATATATATATATATATATATATATATATATATATATATATATATATATATATATATATATATATATATATATATATATATATATATATACATGTTTAAGTACATGTATATACATACATATACATTTATATATGTGTGTGTGTGTGTGTGAAAGACTTGTGAGGTTCTCGCCCACCGCTAGCCACCAGTTAAAGACTGGACTTGTGAGGGGAATGAAAGGAGTCTTGGCTTGAAGGTTTCTTGGGGAAAGGGCGGATGCGAAGACCCACGAGACTCCCGTGGCCCGGCCGTCGAGGACAGCGCGAGATTGTCGTGTCTGTCATCTCTGTCCCTGTCCCTCTCCAGTTCTGTTGTTCTGCCGCTGTCTGCGTCTGCTTCCTGACGTGTTGTCCTTTTAGGCAGCTGTTCCTTGCGAAGGCGTGTGCTTGTTTGTGCTGAAGTGTGAAGTAGAGTGAACACCGGCGTCGCTGAAGGAGGAAGGCAGCTGCTGGATAGAGAGGTGCTAAGTGGGAACCATCCTGCCTTGAGCGTATCGTTTACTATATATATGTGTGGTGTATGTGTGCCTATATATATATATTAATATATATATATATATATATATATATATATATATATATATATATATATATATATATATATATATATATATATATATATATATATAATATATATATATATATATATATATATATATATATATATATATATTTACATACATACAAGTATACATACATAGTGTGTGTGTATATATATATATTATATATATATATATATATATATATATATATTATATATATATACATATACATATATTACACATAACATACGTATGTGTGTGGGTGTGGGTGTATATGTATATATATGCATATATGTATGTGTATATATTTATATATACATATATTTATATGTATATATATATATATATATATATATATATATATATATATATTATAC